GGGGGGCAGGTTGGGGGGGTTGTGGGGGGAAAATCGGAAAAAAATTGGGTTAAAATTGGAAAAATGGGATTAAAATGGGAGTAGAAATGGGTTAAAATGGGATTAAAGGGGTTGAAGTGGGAATAGAAAGGGTTAAATGGGTCTGGGGGCTCCAAATGGGTCTGGGGGCTTCGGGGGCTCCTGGGGGTCGATTTGGGGGGAATTTTTGGGAACTTCGGGACCTCAGGAATTTGGGGAGGGGTCCGGGGGTCTCAAATAACTTGAGTAAGGGTCTCAGTGAATTTGGGGAGGGGTCTCAGTGAATTTGGGGAGGGGTCTCAGTGAATTTGGGGAGGGGTCTCCCTGAATTTGAGGAGGGGTCTCAGCCCCTTTCCCCTTCCCCAATGTGAGTTCACCTGCCTAGAGGCGATTTTTTGGGGGGAATTTTTGGGATTTCTGGGAATTTCGGGATCTCAGCAATTTGGGGAGGGGTCAGGGGGTCCCGAATAATTTGGGGAGGGGTCTCCCTGAATTTGGGGAGGGGTCCCCATCCCTTCCCCCTCCCCCCAATCTCCACCCTGGATGGGATTTAGCGATTTTTTTGGGGGCGAATTTTTGGGATTTCTGGGAATTTCGGGATCTCAGGAATTTGGGGAGGTTCTGGGGGGTCCCGAACAATTTGGGGAGGGGTCTCTGTGAATTTGGGGAGGGGTCCCAGCCCGTTTCCCCCCCCCCAGTGCGAGCTCTCCACCCTGGAGGGGATCAAGTCCTGTCTCTCCTTCTACCCCGGCGCCTGCGGCTCCATGAGGGTGAGACCCCCCCCAAACCCTCCCTGGGGGGTCCCTGAGCCCCCTCCCCAATTCGGGGGGAATTTGGGGAGGGGTCCCGGCCCCGGGACCCCCCGAAATCTCCCCAAATTCCCCCTCTGTCCCCCCAGGGGAAGCTGGCGGCGCATTTCCTGTCGCGCATCGACAGCGAGAGCCCGCGGCTGCAGCAGGTGGGGACCCCAAATTTGGGGGGATTTTGGGGGGTCCTGGGGGGGGGTTTGGGCGTTTTGGGCGATTTGGGATTTTTGGGTGGGATTTGGGTTTTTTTTGGGGGGGGTTTTGGGTTTTTTGGGGAGGTTTTTGGGAGGGTTTGGGGTTGTTTTTTGGGGAGGAATTTGGAGGATTTTGGGGTTATTTTGGGGAGTCTTAGGGGGGTTTTGGGGTGGTTTTGGGGAGATTCTGCTGGTCCTACGGGGATTTTGGGGGGTCCTAGGGGG